TATATATATATAAGTATTCAGATTTATGGCGTTTTCCATTCGGGTCAACTGGAAAAGCACACGAGACGACACAAACGTTTGGGCGAATTTAACGGGTGACGCCGCCTATTTTATTGCATTGACGGCAGACCGACCCTCCGAATAATATTACTAGGGTTCAAAATCTTTTCTTCTTGCCGCCCTTATTACAAAAATATAACATTGTCCGCCCGAATTCGTTTGCACAGTCCATAACTGTTACATTACCGTACCTCGGTTTTTAATTATTCATAAAGTATAAAAGTAATTAAACGCGAGTTTACGCTACAATTTACCGACAAATCAGTCAATCTAATATAAAAATTCGCCCACGTCTTATATATTTTTATCGCACGAATGTAATATTATGCAAACGTTTACTTGTCATTTGCAGTAAAAAAAAAAAAAAAAACAATATTACAAAAAATATAATTAAAATACATATTTACCCGGCTATATGTTTTAAAGTTAGTCTCTCAGGGTTTTAGCTGGGTTGTTTTTTAAATAAAATGTATCCATAATTAAATATTTATGTTTCAATATGGTATTATGATAATTTCTAATATAACTAGTTTTTTATTTTTATTTACACCGCTCTTATTGGTTAAAAACTTTTTCAAGAGTAGCAGAATGATTTTCAACCTATTTCCTAATGTACTATAATTTGGTCTAGGGTACCTTTAACTTTTATACCATTATATTATGTTCTCAGCTTTGAGATTTTAATTTTTTTCTCTGCCGTCTAGTGAAATTGTTCGCCGTTTTCATAGGCAATAATAATAACTTACAATTTCGTTAATCTAATAATTATTATTATTAGATTCACTCGTTTTTGCAGTTTTTATGATCGAAAAACGATCCTTTTAACTCAGTCAACGACAACAAAGGGTATATAATAAGGGAAAACCGATTACTTCGAGGAAGTCTCTTACCAGCTATTTATTAAGTGGTTTGCTAAAGGTATTAAAGAAAATCTAATTATAATCGAATAAAATATTATAATTATTCTCCATCTACCGTGACAATAACGCATTTACAACGGTAATTTACATTTTAATCTTTATACCATTATTATTTTAGTGGAATTATTATTTGTTGCTTTGTGTCTCTAAAGGTTAGTAAATAAAAATGTCCATTCAACACAAAAACAAAAATGTATACCTATTTTCTAATACAGCACCCTGTTTTTTTATCATAAAACATTTAAGTCTAGTTTTTAAACATTATTTTTCTAGAACAATTTGTTTCCAAAATGGATATTATACCATTTATTATGTATTAACTTTCCTATTTTAATTTAACTATGGGTTTAATAATAAGTATTAGTTGCTCAGGTACACAACATTAGAAATCAATACTTTCTCAGCTCCATTTATAAGTATTTGACAAGCATTGTAGCTTTTATAGCATTTATAGCTGTTCCATCAATAACAACACCATAAAAGATTTCAGTTAGAAAAAATCAGAATGAAAATACAAATATTGACCATTCAATTGCAATCTATCTCTAATAAAATACTCTTGTTTTACTATCCTTGTTTATGATTATAGTGTAAAAGTATAAATGTGATTCGATGATTAATGGCTAGCAAAATATTTTTGTTGAACTGTATGCACAAATAGTTTAAAAAAATAATATCTCATTTAATACCATTTCACTAAGTGTCAATAACAACTCATAGTTTGAAGGTTTCCAAACGAGAAAGTGGAACAAGTTAGTAAAATTTCCCAGGATCGCCTGCTTGTGTTTTAGCATTTATAATTATTCTTAATTTATACGCCGCCGAAACTTCTTAAATACTGTTTATGAAGTATGAAGAACTTAACAAACAAATCTCCAAGTAACACTTTTGAATAACTTTAAAATGCTTTAACCTTTTCTCATAAAAGCGATAAAGAAAAACAGAAAAGTACCTATACCTACATGGGGTTTTTTTTTGTGGTACTGATGTGCAGATTAAGCCGGTGAAGCATGGACGTTTCGACGAAAATGTACTTATATTATTAAAGGTTTTAACGTTTCTGTAATGAGATTTCTAAATGAATCACGGACGGATTATAGACTAGACCCGACCCAGAGGGCATGTTTCAAAGGAGGCCCACAAAATAATGGCAAAATAAAATCGGTATTTTTGTTTTTTGGTCTTATAACCTAAATGTGCTGGGTTTGCTTGTCTGCCCCCTGCTTCTGTTTGCTCATTCGAAACTGTCCCTACTGGGTCTACCTATCACTTAGAATTTAAAATTCAAATTTAAAAAAAAAACACAAAAGTAACATAAGTTAACTAAAAAGTAAAAAATAAATGTTTTATACAACAATTTAATCCCCATTTGTTGTTCCATTTAATGTAATTAAGAAGATGTTGTTTATCTGTGTAATTATCAATATTGTTTCATACTATTTTGAAGTAGGCGCCAAGTAAGACATAAAAATCATATACCTTGCTACATTAACAAATTAGATCACTGTATTTTTTAATGAACTAATTTGGAAAAAACTAACACAGATAACGAGATATACAATTTTTTATTGATTTCATATGTTTTACTTGTCACTTTCAAAGTTATAAAACTATTATTAGTTACATAACAAAAAAATAATTTCTTAATATCACATTAAACGGAACAAAACAAATAATATTGTTGTGTAAAACGTTTATTTTTAGTGAACTTATGTTAGCTTTGTGTTTTTTTAACTCGGTTTTTTTTTTCAATTTATCGGTTCCTAGGAAAATAACCGATTTCGACAAACACTTGGCACCGATTGTGTTGTCGATGCCGAAATAAATTGTTTTCCAACGACCCATTGTCTTAGGGATTTAATTTGAATTAATAATATTATAATGCAGCGTCCAACGAGCACCGGGGGTTGTACGGACAAAGGCATTGGGGAAACGAGTGTCCGTTTGAATATAATATGGATAAAGCAAGAAAAACTACAAGAGATCCACCCACACCCACGAAAACCGGAATCCGACAGAGCCATTACATTATATTATTATTTTTGTCTATTGAATGAATAATAATTTAGCAGCAGTAGGTTCGACGTTTACTAATGTGTATTTATAGGACGGCCAGCCAGCGGAATTACATTACCATACACGAGTATTCCTTTCCGGTTTCAATCCAATTTAAATTGGATTTCCGCTTGGTTCGCGCAAACTACATACATGCAATTATTATATTATACACTAATACGATGCATAATCGAAAACAAAGCGTGCACTTATAATTACCGCAGAAAAGCGTACTACTCGTGCGTTCCAAAACCGGAATATTCGGTTAAGTGTTAATAATACATGCAGATTCGGATGCTGTGTATTATATTTTCACCTATACTCTTCAAACACTTTTCCGAAGAACCGAGCGGGTTGAACATAAAAGTACATCAGCTTTACATAATTAAAGACCAAGACTTAATCTACGTTTTGACACGAGCGATTTTTGATTAAAAAAAAAATAGTTTAGCAAAGTTATAAGCTTTAACCACAACATATACGAGCTGTAGGTATATCCTTAAATGTAAAACTACATTTTTTAACCGGCTAAAATTGATCAAAATCATTAAAGTTATGTCTATAACAAAACTCGACTCTTTTTACACAACTGAAATTGGACCATCTTAAGTAGCCGAAATTTTCTCTAGCTTTTGTTGTAAAACAAGATAAAATGACTTTTACTCGTAGAAAAAAATTGGAAAAATTAAAAATAACACCTTAAAACTTATACAAATAACCGGAAAACGAATGAACGCGGTCGAAATTGATTAAAACCAATTTTTTCCCATAATATTGCCTATACAAAACTCCTTAAAAACAGACCGTATGCAATCCCCTTAATATTTTTTTTTTTATTTAGTGTTTGTTATTTGCTATAATGAAGAAGGGCGATAGTACCACTGTATTCTTGTATAAAAAAACATATTAGTTAGTTGATGTACTTGACTTGGAAAAATACTATTGGACAGTGAGAAAAAGTGGACTTGTCACATTTGATTCATATAGATTCTCTAAGACACTAGATAAGATTCGCACGCCCAAAACCCAAGATAGGGATGTTGGGTTTTTCTAGGGGCTAAATAGGAGTGGTGATCAAATACAATTACACCTACAGCTGCATAAGTCAATAATAATTAATTCGGTTTAGTCCGTTCCGAAGAAATGCCGTTTTTTTTTTCTCAGAGAATGATTCCGGCAATTTCTTGCGACCAACACAAGTGCGGTTGTCCTTATCGACTAGAGCGTGACGTTAAATTAAATTATACAGCCCAATATTGCGGAATAACCAAGGAAGGCCCTTTGGAATATTAAATTTATTTTATAATGTCGTCGCGGTGGGCTTAATGAACTGTATTAGTGTTACACGAAGAAAATTAGCTACACACAGCCAGGTTAGTTATTAAAATACAGCAAGCGGGATGAGATATCATTTGCTCGTGAAGTTTATATAATTTTCAGTAATTGGCAGGATGTGTATGTAAACACACATGACCGCGTTTTGCACACTCTAAGGTTGTGCAATGCTTTTTGCCTTATATTCAATACAAGAATATTTTATAATTTTTTCATATTTTATGAGCGCACGAATGGCGCACATCACAGTACCCACGGCTTACGTTATATAGATATAGTGCAGGGAATTGTATAAAACACCATCGAGTTGCAAATAAGTGTTTTATCACTATGTATATTTATATAATTATACATATATGGATGGAAGTTAAATTATTACTGCGTTTATTTTTCCACAAAGCTAAACACATTTATCGTTAATAGAAAAATAAAGAGCTACTATTGCCGAATGACGGGGCATATTATTAAACGCTGCTAATTGTTGTTGTTTTTTTTTAATTTAACCGTCAAACTTTGTCATAAAATTATACCTCGGGCAATTAAATAAAATTTTTTTGAAATTGTACCGTTCTATATTTACCACAAAAGGTTTGTCGGTTTAATCAGTTCTGGAATAATATGTGTGTTGTTGTGTTACAGCCAAAAGGAGAGACGGTTGGCACTCCCCTTGACAAGGATGGATGAACGGATTGTACAGTTGTTGTTTCGGTGTTTCTCTTGTAATTTGTTATTTATACATTTTTATTCTACGCGAAACCGAATAAATAGATGATAAATGATCATAATTTGGTACTCGAATAGATAAAAAGTAAACCGAGAACAACGCCATATGCGTTTAGACTATTTCATATGGTATGAAATTAAATTACAAAAAAAAAAAAAAAAATAGGCAAAACGAATCGATTAGGTTGGATTACACAACTCTCTTTAAAATGTAGTCAATATATTGTGGCAAATAATGTTCGCAGACTCAAAAGAAATAGAATAAACAATATCAAAGCAAAAGTTTATGATAAGAGGTATATATTATAATAAAACACTCTACACAAAAGAAAAACATTATATGCCAAGTCATTTTTGGAATTATCGAGTTTCAGCCTATCGCATGAGTGTAAGCCGAGACACAAAAGCTATTGAAAATCAAATATATATATATATAGTAAAATTCCGCTAAAGTTTCTTTGGGTTCTTTTGAACGAATTCTACTACTTTATAACTCACAGTGGTCTCTTTTACAATATTACTGTAATCAGTGAATAAATCAGTCGGTTGGATTGCAAGTTCATGTTCAGTTTTAAGCCAATATATTAATCACATTAATGTTGCAATAATGTTTTGGTAGTTTATTTTTAGTTGCTGTTGTTATTAGTTACTGATTTATATTTTTTTAATTCATAAAATGTAAAACATTTCTTGATTTCTGAAGAAACTATATTATGCAACTTTTTATTAATACAGTAATGTTAATAAAATCTAACAAATGATACAATGAAATTGTAATAATATATATTTATACAATAAAAACAAAAAAAGAGAAAAAATGGCCGATACGTCAAACCACAGAAGAGGTAAATTCAAAAATGTTTAGTGCACTCTAAAATAATCGAAAAATGTAAACAAACCTTAATAACCCGTGTGACCAAGAAAACGAAGAAAATAATCCATTTCCAGTGTGGTCAAAGGAATTTTATCAATCATAACATCTGTAATGTTATCACCATAAACCATTGTTATTGCACCAACGAATAGATAAAATCAGAAGGGTTCACTTAAAAGTGACGGCCATGTTGTAACGACCAAAACTAACCTTTTCTTATCTATTTACTACTGTCAGTTCAAAATAATGATATTGCGGTTTGTATTTCATAGTGAATATTTGTGTAAATGAATTGTGACTCTTAAATTTGCTAATTGCTAATATATATATAAATTTGTTTAAAATTAGTTATAATATTATAATATATTATATTGTTCTTTTAGTTTTTCGAAAACGGTCACACTGCGACGACGTCGTAAGACCGTGGCCGTCGCGTTTTTGTGTGATAAGTATCGACCACTTGTTATCAGTATTTGTTATCATTGTAAATAGTGCGTACAACATTTTCGGCACCTAAATATTTTGGCTCTACCGCATTGAGTTAAAACCAATGGAAAATTATTGATCAAAAAGTATATTGTTTCACCACGAAGTGCACTGCCTGGTGTTATTGTTTAATACCTGCGATTAGACTAGTTTTTTAATTTGTCGAATTGGCGACACAATGTTTCCATCACATCGACGGACCACGCGTGCTTTCTTAACGCGAGGCCTGCAAAAGCATTTGGCTAATCCGTTCTAAACGCCGACAATCATCAATTACTACGGCGAAAAAATAATAACAGTAATACTAAAGCAACAATGGCAGTGGGGTTTCGGTTAATAAACGACGTTTATTTCGACATTCGCTCGGCGTATGAGATATTTTCGTCGCACAGCAAAAACAGCTCACCCTCTATTTTATTATTACCCGTGTCCAAAGTTGGCTCCGTGGCTTTCTTTTATTCTTCTCCCCCCGCCTTCTCTGTTATTGTTGTCATCCGGGTAACATCGTGTGTGTGTACATATTATCTTATCCCGGCCGTAGACATGGTTTTATTAATCCAGTCGCAAACATACACACACACACACAAAATAAAAATAATAAGTCAAGAGTATCCACACTTCATGCAGATATATCAAATACACGCATATATCCTAATAATTATATGATAATTTCCGATCTATAATCTCCTTGCTATGTATATGATGATTGTATAGTCTTAACTATATGTTCTGGCCAAATTTTTTTAGTGGTTCTATATTATCAGCTGGCCTAAATCAATTTACTGGCTATATTTATCAATATTTAACATTTCTCATAAATCAATTTCCCTGGTTCGCCAGCAAGTAAGCGCCTAACTAACAATTTCATTTGACTATCCTTATATATATATATATATATATCGTTATATCGGTCCTTATTTATATCCTTATATACCCTTATATCCTTTTATATCCTTAATCCTTATATATCCTAGTATATCCTTATATCCTTATATATCCTCGTATCATTATAACCTAATTTGGAGTACCTAATCTCTCATCTCTCATTTGTTATCAGATAATTATTTATCAACCGCTATATCGCACCATACGCACATATTTTCTATGGTAATGTTCAGCGTGGTGCACAGATTTGTGGTTGGCACACACTTGCATTGTTTTCATGTTAAATCGAAAATAAGTACTGCATTTTGCGGTTTCCAAAGTAAATCCAAAGTCATTTTAAAAACGATTTTGATTTGGCATTTTCTATAATATTACTATAATTGCGTTGGTTCTGATGTTGTCCAAAAACGTTTCTACGAGTCTCGTTAATTGAGTTACAGAAAAAATACATAACTTACACAACAACTTAGTAGCTAAATTAAAAGCCAATAGGAAAATTAATCACTTCAACAATCTTTAATAACCGGTAACTTGACTACCGGGAACTAGGTTCAAATATAATGTTGTAATTGATGGTTTCATTGAACTTAATTACACAATATCGATGGACAGCTATTATAGTGCATAGCTATTATAACTTAATGGAGTTTAATTGTCAGGAATTCAGTAACAGCGTATTACACTTTCCAATTGTAATTAAAACCGGAATTTAAAGTATCGAGATTCGACTGTTTTTTTTCGTTAATTGCACAGAAAATCGAATAGTTTATTGCGTTATTTATATAATTTATCGAATTTTAAAACTTAATATTTACTTTTTGGAGAAAAAATGTATTTTTATTAGAGTTTATAGTTGTATAAATTCCAAAGTCATAGCGATTGGTCGCTAATCATCTATTCCAAATACATTGTTATCGACAACAGATGTAGGCTACTAAAATTAGTATGGTACTGTACACATTGTGGCACCAGAAGTACTTACAATATTGATATGGGATTCAGCATTTGGACCATGACTGGCTCCGAGCTATTTATTTTGTTTTTTTGTTTGAAAAACATGCATGTTATTGTTTTATATTTTTTCGGCGTGGTCCGTAGAGTTTTATTTTATGTTCTCCCGGGGGGGAATTGATCTTATCCGGCAACTATATGATTTATGTTCAGTCTGATTCGCGGATATTCCTTTTGGCATTCAGCTGTAAATACAAAAGTCCCCCAAGTCTGTAGCTAGCACGCATAATGTAATATACGCTTCGATAGTCTTATCAGTGTCACCCTTTAAACTGTATTATCTCATTGAATCATTTGGAATGAGTTTCAATTTGATGTGTACTTTAAACATAATATAATGTGTACGTACACTTTACATTTAAGTTACACACAGAGTTGAGCTTTATTTGGATAATTTTAGATAAATCATTTTGACTAATAACTCAAAATACTACTTATATTGTATTGTACTATAATAGACACCGCCGTTTGTTAAATAGAATTTCAATCACTTGACGGTGTGGCTGTTAGTTAGCAACGCTTTCGGATGTATCTAATTATTATCCAAAATGTTCAACACAAATTATCATGACGAACACAGAATATTCGAATGAGGGTTAGCTTAAAGCAGCAACGCACGTACATAACCCGTCAAACAATTATTCTAACGTGGCCTCCGTTTATACAAAATTAACATAATTATTTACAGAACTCAGGCAGGTAGCCTTAGCTGTTATGTTTAATAATGTCAAAATCGAATGTATTAAACACCTAACTAATTAAAGTACACCATTTAAACACTTGAACGCTTGGAACGCCAATAAACATGCAATTTTGTTTTCATAAAACGTGTTCTAATTAAATAATATTTTGAATAAACCTAGTAAAATGTACTGGAAATGAGAATATGAAGATATAAAAATATTTTTATTACTTAATTATTTTCTGTTAAAACTCAGTAGGTATCAATATTTATTTATAACAACGTTTGATTTACTTGATTTTATTTTTAATTGTGATTTTTAACGGTTTTGGAAAATGTCGTTTTGCGAAAACTGAGAAATGTTCAAGACATTCGGATGGTCGATACAAAACTTTGCAGCTTGGTACAAAAAGGTCCAAATGATATAATGCACTTATCATATAATAATAATAATAATTAATGATTATTACACATAAAATATGTATGTAATAAAAGTGGATCGCGTTTTCGAACTTTGTACTAATGTTTTTGTTTTCGACTTCTTTCTGTGCTAAATATTTTTATTGTGTTTATTTTCTTCTTCTTCAGATATATCATAAAACATTATTTCTAAAAGCTTCATACTGGAAATGCATGGGCTACTTAGATATATAAATGGTTTTTGGTTTTTTTTTTTTATGGGGCTGATGTTTATTATTTAGTATATACTTTTTTTTGGCGAAGATATCATGTGTCCTATCGTGTAATCTAATAACCTTTTGGTCGAGTAAAATACAACAAATGTTTGCAGTTCACTTTGTCGTTAACATAATATAGGTTTTTAACTATTGTCAAGCCAATAAAAAAATGGTTTAGCTACAAATCTCTAGGATTTTGGCCAGCAGAATTTTCCCTGTAGAACAAAAAACAATAAAAAATTATGCGATAGTAACTTGCGCGAGAAAAAGTTGATGGCCAAAGCTAAAGTTATTATTTTAAAAAAAAAGTCTCCATCAAATACATTTCAAGAATTGTGTATGAGCCTAGTTACTAAGCCTTACGTTTAAGTAGCAATGGAGCTTGCTATATATTCGTATTAGTGTGATTACAAATCCATACTGTATAAGGTTATAAGGATATAGAAGGATACAGAAGGATATAAGGATATATAAGGATATAAGAATATAGAAGGATATGGAAAGATATAAGGATAAAAGGATGTATAAGGATATAGAAGGATATAAGAATATATAAGGACATAAGGATATAGAAGGATATAAAATATCTTATCTCTTATCTCTCTTATCATATCAGATAAATCATCAGACATTTTCGTTAGGTTTTTTAACTGTCGGTTTTTCCGGTTGTGTGCCGAAGTGAAGACATAAAAATGTCAAAAATTCTTAATATTTTTTCGCACCTTATTTTTCACAATTTTCAGCTATTATAATAGTAATATGTTAAACACCATCTTTTGCAAACTGGAATCGTAAAATAGAAATCGCCAAAAATGTCTTATTTACTATTAATCACATAGTTATATATATATATATATAAAACGCTCTTTATGTGTACCGTGATATGGATTGCCCTTAGGGGAATTTTGACGCTACGCTCTTAAATTACGCTGGCTGTCGAAGGAGTCGAGTATTTTTCTCAAGTAAAAGCAGTTTTCGGAACAACAAACCACCAGACCGAAATGTTTCAGGAATGTTTGCCGAAAGAAGTATTTTTCGATATGTTTACCGGTCTCCCGGGACAACAGTCATCTATTGGCTATTGCGATATACCATCATCGTATATCACTTATTAGCTAAGATGCCATTTTAGATACTGTACATTACATAGTTGTTGTGTATACATAGATATGTGATTTAATCTATCTAATCAATATGTATCCAAAGACAAAACGGCAAGTAATAGTACACGGTTGTTGACAACATTTAGCGTTAAGTTTAGTGCGAACGATGAAACTGACCTCGTCCGATAGATTTTTTACACGAGGAATCCAAATCTGTGTTCAAAACTGTCCTAGCACGTCAAGTTTCTGAGAATATACATTTTAAATTAAGGAAAACCCCTAAAAGACGGCTATTTCAATAATAAAAATAATAACATTGTTCCCATCAAATCGAACCGCTATAACAAACAGTTAAGACTATCCACACTTCATGCACACACATCAATACGTGGATACGTCCTGCAATCTAGTATGTCTAATATGTTATCACTAATCCATTATCTCTATTAATTCAGCACTGTGACAACACTATTTTTTTTTTTTTTAAATAGCGGATTTTTCCACTTTAAGCATTTATTTTCTCAGAAACTTGACGTGCTAGGATAGATTTGCAGACGGATTTGGATTCCTCCGAACGAGCCATCCTAAATTTTGTCAACAACACGGTTATTCGGTTATAAAACATATTTTGTCCAGGCGACAACCAAATCAACGGAACTCCGTTGAAGTAAAAGTGGGAAATATCCAGAGACACCACCAAGTACGCAAGTTATAACCTCGGTGGGAGCCCAAGCCTTGCGAGGGGAGAAAACCACCGAAGGGACCCGGAAAAACCTAAGAGAAACCCCATAAGTTTCCTTTATTCTTTGCGCCGACCACGTGACAGTTACTACCGAAACTTACAGCTCCGATGGCTGGTTATTCAAATTCAATGTCCGGAAAACTTACTGTTTTTTCGCTCTGCCTCCGACTGTTCTTCTACGCCCGCCTGTGCTTTTATTCTCCCCCCCCCCCGGCAACCGTCGTTTCCCATTGTACATACAGTAACCGAACAGTAGCACAGACATCTCTTTTCTCTTTTCAATAAATTATGCCGCCTTTTTTTCCATGCGGTTTTCACGCACTCTTTGCATAAATAAGACCGGTTATACGGGTAAAGACGACTTGCCCATTGCCATTTTATTTAATGTGGTTGTATATAATATAATATGTCGCGCACACATGCGGTTTTTTCGTTTACTTCCTACAACGTATTAAAAAGTAATAACGAATCCGTTATTTAGGGTTTCCTTTTTATCAAGTCTACACCCGTCGGTTCCGGTTAACGTATTAGTAGTTATCGCTTTTTTTTTTGTTTTTACATAGCTTGGACGCAACAAATTATGTTTTCCATAAAACCAGAGTTATACAAACTTACTACTTGTAGGTGTTTTGTTATTTTTCATTTTTCTTATAAAAATAAGAATTGTTTCCCAATATTCGTTTTTTTTTTTATAACAACTTTTGAAACCTAAATGGTAACGCATACATTTCATTAACTATTTTAATTGAGAATGTGGTATTAAATATGTTGACTGGTCGATAACCAGTTTTGAACAACTATTTTTTAAGTTATAAGAGTTTAAAAGTCAGGATGGGAGGGAAGTGCGCCAAGATTTTTCTCCTGTCCTAAACTAGAAACTTCAACAACTTCAAAAATAGTTATTTCAAAACTGGTTATCGACCAGCCAAAATCGCTAGTTCATTATTCTCAATAAATTAAAAGTTAATGAATTGTAAACAGTAACCGTTTAAGTTTAAAAAGTTGCTGTCGAAAAAAATAAGTTTGGGAGAAAAATCTTTATTTTATAGTTAAAGGAAGAAAATGTCACAAATTGAACTCGATCGGACAATATTTAGATGTGACTCAAAGCTATTTTATCTTGTCCATTTGATTAACACGTGTGAAGTTGATAATTATTTTATATAATTTTTTTAGCTTCGATGCGGTGCCGAAAAAGTATTGGTTTTACAATGATGTGCGTTTTTTAGTTTAAAAGCTACAATATGATTCGAAAGAGTACACGAAGGTAATATTTGATATCACTACTTGAAAGTTTATTTAAAAATGAAAATTGCAAAAATTCCATTATAAAATATTCAATAAAAAAAGTTTTATTTTCAATGGTAATAAACAATTTAGTCAATAAGCCGGTAATAAGTCAAATATTTATCTTATGTGTATTTTTTTGGAGTTTTTTTAACACCATCTTTTCAACGAGCCCACTCTTAAAAGTTAAGCTTTAAAATTTTTAAAGTTATAGTCAATAGAAATCATCTTCAGACTTTTAAATCAAAATATGGACACAATAGCTTTGTGTCACCTCTAAACGATAACCAATCAAGTCCGAATTTTGACATTTTTTTTTTTTTCTACCCCAAATAGATTTTGTCGGATAAACAAAATGTTTCTAACGAACATCCATCCTTATTGGCGTTTGAAAAAAAGAAAAAAAAGTGCGGTTTTGCGAAACGACCCCGCACAAGGTTATGTAAATCGTTCAGTTTTATTTCTCATTTATATTTATATATTCTACTTTTTATTTTTCGTATGGTGAAGGGGGGGGGGAGGTGGTTGTAACAACAGCTTATTACACATAGCCAACGAGTATAGGTACCTACCTGCTACGGATGCAAACACACATAGGTATTTATTTCCTCCGTTAAAAACGATAAGTCAGTGTATTATGTGCGGTAACAAAAGAAGGGAGTGATTAAATGTATAAAAAAGGAAACGGCTCTTATGTTGGGGTTTAGAGGTTTTATAATGCACTCCTTGGCTAACGAACCAATGTATAAATATATTATACGGATGTGAACTTTAAACGTACAGCGTTCGAGGGGTTCGACGGGTTAGTATCGAAGGGCGATTTTATTATGTATTGTGCAGTGAAATATTTTTGACTCCGAGGGGATGAACCGTGTGGGGGGGGGGGCGCTAACTTTTAATTTTCCCGATGGAAACACACTTACATTTTATTGCAGTAAAACCCATTTGGCCATTCCGCTTTTTGTGTACATCTCAATCTTATTTCGAGTGATTCTCGACTTATTCGGTTCGGGGGATAAGCTGCAACGATCAACGTGCACAAGTATACAGGGCGATCCGTCCGAGTGTCTTGACTCGATTTCATTGGAAAATATGAATTTGTTGACAATTATTTTTTTCCTACACATATTCACCATATGTAGCTGACACATGTTTTACAATGTTTAGCTTCATCTCTTATATGCGTGACATGGTCGGTTTTTTCAAATGGTATCATATGTTTTTAATTCCATAGGTAACAAATTAAAAAATGAGACCCATATTAGAATAAGGGCTCAGTTTAAAATATTGGTTCTTTCCAGGAAATAAAAAAAACTATTTTCCTAGGTATCTACATTTTTTTTTTGAAGAAGAAGAAAACTATAATTTATTACCATTAAACGGGGTCGATTTAATTTGTAAAAAAATATTTTTTAATTTTAATTAAGCCTAAGGAATTTCTTAATAGTTGTAAAATCGGGCAATGTACAATACTATTTAATAAACTTAAAAAAAGTAAGTTTATACGGTTTTAACATAAATGAGGGACGGGGTTATGTTTTTTTTTAAATAAAACAAATTTGTCCAACTAATAACTATAAAATTATAGAAAAAATTCCAATATCTTCTAAGTTATCAACTAGGTCAAATTTCCTGAGAAAAATGGATCACCCTATATCACACATGCTATCTCAATACATTTATAATAATATCCGAAGCTATGTCACACCACAGCAGTTGCCGTTCATATTAGCCATTTGAACTGTGAAGAAAACTGCAATAGTTTGTTCGTTTCACATTGTTCGAATACCATTCACTTATATAAAAAACCGAGTACGATTAGCCAAGCGGTATGATTTCCATGCAAAACGCATACACACACATATATATATTATATCTTGTACAATAATATTATATTAATCCCGGACGTGTTATGATATTAAAAAAATATAATATTTCATTTAAATAATCGACCTCTAAACGAACCTACGTACAAAGTCGGGTAGGTACATGCTTGTTCGGTCACACAATCATCATATTTTTTATGTACACTCGAGTGTTAAATAAAATAAAATTAATCGTACCGTCGAGTACCTATCTAAAAAATAAAAACGTTGGTGGAAAATAAATTTATAAATACAAAAAAAAAAAATACTTACCCAATATAAACATTGCGAACAGGTAAAGAAGAAAGTTCATTCCGAGTGATTGTATTAAATTTTTAATTCAACAGCGCCTGTAAACAAAATTGTATTTGTACAGTATAGTAAAATTGATTTACACAAGTAGCTGTGTTTTTATTTAAACTCTTAATAAACGCGAACAGAGCGAATAATTTAAACGTGAAATAATTCTCATCCATCACAAGCAGTCATTCTGATTGTGTACAAATGATATACTATCGTATCGCACTCATATTTTATTAACTAATATATTTACAAGACAAAATTATAAACTGGAGATCAAAAGGGGGGTTTGGAATTTCAAAAAAAAAAATTAAAATATAAAATTAGTGTTGACATTTATTTGTAATTCGAAAAGCGCCAATTTGAAGTTTTTTCCAAGCATGGTATTTTAGCATAATGTTTATATTTTATATCATAAAAAAAAAAACAAAGTAGAGTAGAGCTCTTTGACATTTAGGTATACACGAAAGCCCATTTTTGAAATTTCAATAACAACATTCTATCTAATAATCCACACTTCCCATCTAAATTAATATGTTATTTATGTATTATTTTATCCGTCATATTATATTGGTCGGTTTCAACAAGTGCACGGTTAACATGTCACATCCCTTGACCCCTACCGGGTCGATAGGTGTTCGATACACGATTATGTTTTCATAAATATTGTATAATATCTACCTATAGAATGTCCGTTTGAATCGAAAGTCAACAACGTTTTCAACGGACAAAAGTCGATCTCGCTTCATGTCTTGGCGGTTTTCCACAGCGGCATTACGTGCGACAGATCGGAATAATAACGAATTAATTTTTTAAAAAAAAAAAAAATAGTATAAAATCGAAAATGTACGATTGGTTTTTTTTTTTTAGTACAATATAATACGTTGTCGGTGCTCGTGTAGACGAAACGCGATAGCAGGGAAATGCCGGCACATGAAACCCACGAGCACCGGACAGATGCGAAATGATTCGCGCCCAAACGTCTAATGGCAGTGTGTACAGTCTCACCGGCGCGCGTTGTCGACAGATAATTTCTGAGAGCATAAAAGCCGGCGCGCGCTTGCTCCACACAGACTCCCCCCGGGCACACTATTTGGCTTTCCCGTTCGCCGTATCATTTATAATAACATATTATAGTCGGTTTGATCGGTTTTTTTTTTTTTTGACACGGACACGTCTCGTGGCTGGGCGTCACAGTGCAGAATACCTAAATTCTGGATTAGCGAGGGTCATAGCGAAAGTCAAGAGTATCCACACTTCATGCAGGTACATCAACAAATACATGGATACGTCCCGACATAATATAATTATTTCCAATCCATAATCTCCTTGCGGTAAATGACGATATTATAGTCTAATTATACGTTCTGGCCGAACGTTTTTTAATAGTCTTATAATATCTGGCCGATTCACTGGCAACATTTACATCAATATTTAACATTTCCCATAAATCAATTTCCGTGGTTCGCCGGTAAATAAGTGCCTACCTAACAAATTCATTGTTCTAGTATGTCCTTGTATCTTTTTTTTATTAACATTCATTGAGATATCAAATACTTAGGTACTAACTTAAGCCGTTATGTGTGTTTATCATTTTTGTCATCAATTATTACCAACAGAAAATAAAAAACTCAGTTAAGAGTATCCACACTTCGTGCAGATATCAGGACATATCCATGTATTAGGTTTGTTCGTTTTAAAAAGAAAGTGTTGTATCAGTGTACACTTTTTTCACACCGACCGTAGAGTAAGTGTGATACCTAAATTTTGGTGTTGGTCGTTATCATATTTCTTATCAACAAATATCGACTCATCATCATATAGCTTAACGGGCCATGAAGGCCCAACGCTGCCATCATGAAATGGTTTCGACTAATTTTTATAATCAATTCTACTATCAATAGAAATAAACTATCAGTTGATTAATCTACACCAAAAAAAAAAATGTTTTTTTTTTTTTTTGTAGATTTTGGTGTTTCTGGCGAACCACGGAAATTGATTTATGAAAAATGTTAAATATTGATGCAAATGTTGCCAGTAAATCGGTTAAGGTCAGATATTATAAAACTACTAAAAAACGTTTAACCAGAACATATAATTAAGACTATAATATCATCGTATACCGCAAGGAGATTATAGATTGGAAATAATCATATACCTAATTAATATATGTCAGGACTTATCCATGTATTGATTTATCTGCTTAAAGTGTGGATACTCTTAACTTTTTTTTCATTTCCTTATCCCCGATATTAATTTCTTGCATTAAGAACATAGACCTATTATTATAAAATGGAATGCGCTTAAGAAGAAATAATACGAGTCCTCTACACGTGATAAGGAAAACTATTCCCAATGGATGACAAAATTACATTTAAAAAAAGTATTTATTCATGATTTTAAAGATGATTAGACATTATATGAGATACATTTTAAATGCATCCACCGTGGTATATAACGACCAAATAAAAAAAAAATACCTTCTCAGTTCTGCATCGAAGCTAAAAAAAAGCTAAAAAGTTCATTGTCAGTCACATATATATAATAAACTAGATTTGCTAACTAGTGATAACAATGGAAGCAACTTCAGCCATTTTTGTGGGATTTATGTGTGTGTAAATAGTATATAATATATACATAGATCTGTGATTCTGTGCTATAAGTTGAACTTTTAATATTGTCATAAGCATTGGTAACAGTTGTAAACATGTGATAAGGGATTAGTTCCCACAAAGATGGCGGAAAATGGTAACTTTAATTATTTCTTTTGGCGTCATGTACACTTCTCCAGCAGTGATTTTCATCTTACATATTGTGTTATTGGGAGCCAATTTAATTACATTTTTTTTTTTGGAGTTCTATGATCGCCTCTGGTTATTTCCCCCATCTTCAATTCTTCTTGTATTTTTTAGTACACAGATCAGGATTCGTGACATTTTAGAGCTATCCAACTAATCCTGTGATTATGTGGATGTCATTTGATGTTGTCGAAAAATGGCCCATCGTAGTTTGTGCGATAGCAAATGGCTTGCGCCAGAGTATTGAATCTCAGCCTTTCTGTCGTCCACAGTAATCTATTACTATATTAATATGACCCAATGCCAAGAAAAATGCGCGGGGATGAGCTAAAACCAATCATGGGATCTATTTAAGACTTTTATGAAATTATTTTGTTACCATAATAGATTCATCGCAGCACATTTGTCGCTCAAATGTACGCACCATAACTAGTTAACTTGCTATTGTAAACAGTTAAAATGCGTTCAGAAATTGATTACCCTAAAGGTACCAGATATTATCACAAGTCGAAGAGAATAATATGTATTTTAAATATATTATTATAAAGCATTGAGCGTGAAACGATGAATTGTTATTTTTACTAAAATGCAATGTAAATTATAAATGATTTATGGCCCTGTCTAAAATAATCAAATGTAAATAAGTAATTAATTATGTTTTAAACCAATAACTCCGAAGATCATAATATATTATAATATAATCGGAAAAGGTATAGACAGAAAGTAAAGGTTCTAAAAAAAATACACAATTTTTGCTTCAAACGTTTACATTTAACAAAAAACACCCAATATAATTGTGAGTTGTAACTTTGTCCTAAAAATGTGTATTAATGTGTCGTTAATTTTACAAATGCTTATAATTAAGCCTAAGAACAGATTTTCCGAGAACGTTATTACATAATATATGTATATATATAATTATATTTTACAGCTGTTAATTAGTTAATTAGTACAAATGGATTCCAGTTTGATATTCTAGCATTGTACTATTATATAAATATATATAGGTACATACAAAATCATTCCAGCTATATTGTACCCAAAACTTAATTTAAGCATAGAAAATATTTAAGTAAACTCAAAACACTTTTTTTAACTTAGTTTTCTCGAGAAACAAGCTAACTAATAACAATTACATTTACATTTTCAAAGTCTTGGAAAGGCAATGCACAAGGATAAACAGTTTTACACGTGTTTTGGAAGAACATTACAAACACTAAATTACAGTTATTGTTTTCAAAATATTTTCTATTTCAAGCATTAAATTTTGAGTTCATTAACACCAACCTACCCATCCTTGGTCGCAAAAAGAGCCGCATGGTGTTTTATTGAACAGAAATGCACAGGCCGATAAATGGATTAGTATTAGTGTACAAATACATTATGTAAAATGTGCACAATAAATAACACAATTAGGTTTATGAAATAAACTTAGTATAGATATGTTTTTAGAAATTGTTATTTGTAATTCGCAATGCTTTTTTGACACCCTGTACGTTGATGTAATTAGTTTTGGTGAGTATCGGTTCAATATTTTTTGTTTCTAACATTATAAACTATTCTAAACTTTGTTAAAGTTTTTTTTTTAACAAAATATTTTCTTTTTACCCAAATCATATAATATTGCTGATACCATTACTGCGAACATAATATACTTTTCAGTCGTAAATATCATGAAGTAAAAAGTTATGATAATTTATTTGGTCGGTTTCTCCAAGTTGTACTTACTTCAAAATATGTAATTCATATGACCATATGGAAATTCGCTTTTCCAACCCGGAATTGAATATTCATAAACGAATCTTAAATTATAATCAATGAACATAAAAGTCTGACTTAATTTTCATATTTAGTAAAATTTGCAAACTTCAAACTCGGTATTGCCGTTGCCGCAAAGACCTTATAATTTATCAATAGAAATCTTTTATAGAAATGCATAATAATTACAGTAAAGCAAGTTAATTAAAACGCAGTGTGCAGGATGATTTTTTTATCGCGAACCAATCCATAATATCTCAATGGGCTTAATTAATAATTTAATGTTTATTTTCACGGTGTTTTTATACCCATTCAGATATTTACTGGTTCAGGATTAAAAAAAAAAATCACCCTGTATTCAGAGCTATTATGATGTATGATTAGGCTAATTAATATATTTTGTTCACTCACATAATTTAATTCCCAGAAGCGGTGGGTATGATTGGGAATAATTTTATCAGATCTCGTTTGAAAAATTTAGAGTAAGATTATACATGACATTTATTATATTATAATCAACAACACTAGTCAACAAGGTAACAAATAAATCCACGTTATATGTGCTCCAGGAGAGATGACAGTTCAATAAAATTAGACTTTATTTGATAAATATTTAGAAAAGTTGTAGGTGTTAAAATTAAATCAACAATATTAATACGTACATCAGAGTGGTACAGTGTGGCCAGAACTAAGAAATTACATTTCTCTAGTACATAATATTTTTAAATTGCTTACAATATTTAATCAGTTGCGATATTATCACATTACTGTCATATGACATTTAATTTGTCTTTTGATCAATATAATTGATAAGGGTGATACTGCGCAGTGTTCAACAACACATAACAGAAAGTTTTTTTTTTTTAGTTTAAAGTGGTCACACTGTCGCTCGCCTCACTGATTGCATCGTTGCTGAGTACAAGGCATTAAAATACTATGGTTTTTTATATTATGTTGTTGGTTATTTAAATTTTACCTTTGAAAATTCTACTTACACATTACTTACCAAGTCACAGTTGAATTTCTTTAGTAGTTTAGTAGTTTGGTATATTAACCTAACCGCGAGTGAACTCCAGATAGCATAATGATTTATGAATCTCTAATGTCATTACCGAGGTGATATACCGAATAAGAGTTATGCACTGGTTTTGAATATCACGAAAATGTAACATTAATTATGAAAGCTGGTTGGCGAAGCTGCAAAAATAATTAACATTCATCTTTTGCATGAAAGAACATTTCGACGGAAATCTAGCAAAATATAATTATTACATATGGTATATAGCTGAATAGTCAACGAATGGATAACAACACTGTAATGTCAAATATGTTTTTGGTACATGTGAGTAAAAATAGTGAAACACAGATATTTGAATTAAAATAATATTTACACTAAAATGTACTGTCGTTATCAAGTCAACATTTATGACAGTCGGGTATTGTGTGCTTACAATGTTTTGTCCAAGCGTTTTAATAACATTAAACAGGTTAAGTATGTTTAATCTGATTTTGTCAAGGGCGACAATATGTTTATGCCCCAAAGAGGCGTTCAAAATAATTCTATTTGTATTGCAACACAAAGCACTTATTACTTTGGGCTATATATATGTATATAGGTTTTGGAGCGCTTTTGTCATCGTCGCGTGTACCCATATCAACTGAAGTTATTTCGACTTTATCTCAGCCCCAAAGCGAGTATTGTTGTAGGAAGGGTAAAGCGAAATAATTGAGGATCGGATGTCCGCATTCATTGCCCACAGGTAGACAGGAAGCATTGGCCGTTCACCGAGGAGTTAATTGGTGTTTTATCTTGAAACCGGTTATCTTGTTGTAATTCGAAACACCTTGCACGTAGAACAAAAACATTTCAAATAGACAATTAACAAAAAAAAAAAAAAAATTGACAATTTACCGAACGAACCGAACCACCGTAATTATAATATAGAAATTATAACACCTTTCGAAATATGATCAAAATAATATTAATATGTAATAGCAATAATGCAGATTCCTGTTTTTATTTCGTTGGTTTATCGACAATTTAACGGCGCTAATATTTTCAACATTGGTCTCATTCATTTTGTGCAGAGCATGGGAAAGTTTGTAAAGTCCATTAGGTTACTGTACTATCGTATCTCTTCTGTCACCGTTAAAATGATAGATCATCCACTGGCTGCTCCGTGCACTAAATGATCCGAATTTCCGGCTACGATAGTGTCTTAATGATTTCTCCATTTTTTTTTTGTTTTTTTACTATTATTTTCTTTCGTTTTCATCGATTTTCATGTAATAATCGACAACTTATGGCTGTAGTTTTCCAAACAGAATATAATGCGAACAATTAATATTGATAAAATTATAAAACAATCATTAACAATAAGTGATCTGTATTAGAAATATAAACGATGAGCCCGTCACCAAAATTTGCACAATCGTTTAATAAAGGTAGACCTATAAGGGAAGGACTTAAGGATAAGATTACAAAAATATAACTTTATTTATCCGAGAATTATTAATTTTATTGGTAGACATGATAGGACACAAGTATATGTATAATATTTTACAATTATTACAGATTTTTAAATTTATATAGTGATAATAATAAGATAAATTATAATATTTTATGAAATAATCAGAATACAGACGACAGTGTTTTTCTAACATTAGGTAAGGATATGTGTGGAACTTGTGGATGTCCATGTTGTAACTGTGTCTCGAGTGATTTTCCTGCTTGGTTATTTAAGCCTATTTGTAATCATGTGCCATCAATTTTCCTGTAGCTCCTTTTAGTATTATTTTTATCCGTTTAGATACATGTACGGCTAGTTGACTCAATCTTAACTTCTTTTATGTATGATTCTGGAGATTGTGTACTAAAGTATAATTCTAGCGAACGACACTTCGGTGATAAAGAGGCCTCAATCTCTTCGTTTGCTATGGCATTGTAGAAATTTGAGTTTTAAAATATTTAAAAGAATTGAGATTTGATTTTACAACAGTAGTATAACTAGCCATTGAACAATAATACTGACCTCGTCGAATACCCTATCATCGATACTGTGTTTATATCGTTACATAACAATATATTTACTTTACTAGTTGTATTTGAGAATTTACAAGCCTACGAAATGTGTTGGCAAATTAATTAGTTAATGTATTTAAAGATAATTTTTTATACATTTAGTGAAATTGTCATACATTATGTAATACAATTTGCTAAATAAATAGTTAATTGTTTAAAATAAATGAATTAAGTTGGAATACAAAATTTAGGCAAAATTTATCTTGTACCATATTTTGGTGCAATTTATTTTTTATTATAAATATAAATGTAGAACAACTATCAGTTGTCATAACGTGTACAGAATTCTTAAACCAGGGGCATAAAATTAGGTTTCCAATTGTAAATGTGTAAGATTTTATTTTATAGATTGAACTTTCGTTGTATGAAATGTGGTAGTATATTATTTACCTTAAGTTCGTATCGATATGGAATAACATATAAGTAATAACAATAATAATACACATAACATTTTATAAGAACAGTCTATTTTTTGTATTATTCAATGCGTTAGACTTAAACGACTTTGAATTTACTGTGTGCAAAAACACATAACATTTTCATTGTTCTAATTTTTTTTTTATTAGTTTCGTAGTGATGTGAATAACAAAACATGAGGAATAGCCCACAAAAAACCCTTCTCTAAATCAATAAACATCCATATAAACAATTTTACACATTTGGAATTTAGCACACAATAAAAAAAAATTGAAATCGACTTTCTTTTTTATTTCAAACATCATGTAGGATTAATTTTCGTACCCGACATTGTTCTTATTTAAATCGTATATAAACCAATCCAACACCATTGTGATTGTCCAGCCAGGATATTGTTTTTCCTCATTTGGCTATAATATATAATCTATTCTACACTGTTTTATTTAGGCGCCAACATTAGAACTCCATATAGGTTATGTTAGGTACCTCTAATATCAAATCTCTATATAATAACCATTAGGCTAAATTATCCATTAGAAAAATAAACAATGACCCTGTCATCCAAACTTGCACAGTCATTTAATATAGGTAGATTAGATACAAAAAAACAATTTTACTTATTCGGTAATTATTTTTTTTATTGATAGACATGGCTTAAAACAGAAATAGTCATACAACATTATGAACATAAAAATGTATAATGTGGAATACGTTATTGAAAAAATGCACCAGCCGTTTTTTTCCCATCAGCTTAATTAAATGTATATATTTTAGATATTATAATGAAAAAGTAATAATGATAAAGTGACTAATAATATTATTTTATATGGGTAGATAATATGTGGGTGTGGGTGGAGCTCATGGACGTCCACGTTGTAACTGTGTCTCGAGTGATTCTCCTGCTTGGTCATTTAAGCCTATTTGTGACCATGTGCCATCAATTTTCCTGTATCTCCTTATAGTGTCATTTTTATCCTTTAAAATACACGTAAGGCTAGTTGACTCAATATCAACTTCTTTTATGTATGATTCTGGTGATTGTGCACTAAGGTATACTCCTAGGAAACGACACTTCGGTAATAAAGAGGCCACATCATCTACAACCTGTTCACCTAAAAAATTAAAATTTTTTTTTTATTATGCTAAGGTAAACTTACTAGTTTACTACTTTTCTTTATGGTGCAGGACAAAACTATTTTATTTGTTAATACGAAGTCATATAAAAATAATACACTAAGCATAGTGACCGTATTGTACAGCCATGATAATTGTGTAAAAAGTACGTATTTGTAGTTAAAATTGATTTAGTGAATAGTTAAAAATTAAAATCATTTGTATGCTTGTTCCTATTAAATAACTTAAAATATATGTACACATAAATATATTAATAGCGTTCAAAAACCATACATTTCCATAATCAAATTTACCTAATACACGACGTCTGATTATATTTATTAAAGCTAGACGAACATATTCTCTTCTCTCGTTTGCAATGTTTTGCAATGTTCCACGATCTATAAAAATAATTATTAAAAAACTGTGTTGCGAAGAAATAATAAAAAAAAATAATATATTAGTCGCTCTTTATACATAATTATTGCATTACATTTCAAAGAATTGTGATACAAATAACTTTTGAACAACCACTTATTAGTGTTGAAACTCAACAAATGTATTATTTCTATTTAAGTCCCTAAGAATTTATTACACATTAACACTGTAGTCACACTCAACAAAAAGTTGAATTTATTAAAATCATTATCTGACATAAAAAATTTAATACATTTAATGAAGTTAAATTATCAACTCTAAAATAAGCTTTTGAGGCTATTTATGAATATCAAACAAATGGTAATAATTACCCGTAGTATAAGTCATTTTCGGTCTACCTCCTGTAATAAACACATCAAACATCAAATCATTATCCATTTTATAAAACCCGGTTAATATATTTTATATATTTACATTCACTCTATAACTGAGGTTAATTAAATCAATATTAATTAATGCAAATGGTATTGTATAAATTTAAATTTATATCATATACCTATGTTTAAATGAACAGTTTAAATTTTATTTCGAATGATTGTTAAAAGCTTAACAATAAAACATGTATAGCTTGGTGACTTGATGTTATTAATCTAGTTTTTCTTTAAAACTACAAAAATATTTTACCCTTTTTTTTAAAATTTATATTTACCTATTAGTTCTAGACCTATGAACTGTATCATGTGATCGAGAAATACATTGGCTTCTAAAATTTAAAATAAAATATATTATTACAATATACTTACATCATTTTTATGATTGAAACCCTGTGTCGTATTGATATATTTTATCAATAGGTACATATGATTAGTCTCAAAGTATGGGTAAATAATAAATATGAAATACTAAAAGGGGTTTTTACTTTTCGTTAGGTCTCGAACTCTAAGGTAATCTGAAATTAAAACAAAAATCTTGTTTACATAAAGAATAACAAACATCTATTGCATAACATAGAGAAAATAATTGGCTTCTAAAAGTTAAAACAAAATACATTTTAATGTACCTATATATTTTTTTTTTTTAATGAAACCGATATGTCATATTGGTGTTTGTTAATAGGTACATAAGACTATTCTCAAAGTATTTAGAAATAATAAATATAAAAAGCGATTTTTACTTCCTGGTTGGTCTGGAACTTGATACATAGCTGAAATTATAAAAAAAATCTTGATTGCATAAAGATTATCAAACAACAGTGTGGAAACGCTTCCATAAAGTGTAATGCATATTATTACCCGTTGCATCGGATATAATATCCTTGTGGTCTGAAATAATTAAGAACACATAAATTAATGTTATTGCATTTAATGTTCTATTGTATTACAGAAAGGAAGACGAAATTCAAGGTAGAAAAAACATGTGTACTAATAACTCTGAAGAAGTTTTCTCCACTGTATATTCAGTACGATGAGAGTCTCTTTGGAGAACTCAATAGGTATGAAATATTAAAAAAAATTTTATAAAATTTAACAAAATCTATTACCCGGTATAGCGATCAAAAAACAAAGTTTCTCTGAAATTCACATTACATAAATTAATGATATTGGATTTGATTATCTGTAATAAATTATTACGTTATATAATTATAAATTAGAAGACGAAGGTCAAAGTAGAAAAAAATTATATTAAATAGACTATGGAACCCTTATGAAATATCATGGCTGAGTTGATACAGTTTATTTTCATAAACTACTATTTAGATTTCGATGAAAAATAAAATAATTATAACACTGTTTATTTGTATACAGATAAACGTGAGATTCAGTTTTTATATTATTTTCAAATAATTGTTTTCTACTCTTGACTTGATGTTTTGTATTATTATTATAAAATATATTATTACGGAAATTCTTGAAAAAAAGTTCATCGACACTATCAACCATTGACTCAATAATATGCTCCAAACCATCTAGAATAAACAAATGAAGATTTAGGCTATACTAAAATAATAAAATAAAATAAAATTAGGTTCAATACAAATTTTTAGAATAATATTAAACCCAACGTTGAGTAGTAGTCATTTAAGTTCACTCTTCTCCCTCGATTATAGAATTATAAATCGCTAATGCATAATATACTATATTGCTCTGTACACTGTTCTACATATCTGGTGCACCTTTCTTAGCTATTAATAACAACTAAAATGTTTATTTAATAATAACTTGACAATTAGGTACATTCAACAATAATTCTATGTATATTAGTATATTATTGTAACTATAATATCTTACTTATTATAGATGTACCACTTGTTGCTGAATAACTCTTTAAATAAATCTTCTTGATGAGTTCGGCTGAGATATATAATTTAAAAAAATTGTATAAAAACAGTGTATTTTAAAAACTTAAAAATCATTTGTTTATAATATAAAATTATTACTGACTTGAAGTGAAAACATTATCCATATAAACTGACCCTGTGAAAAAGTGAAACATTAAATTTTTTCAAATTTTAACTACCTTAAGTTGATGACTGTGCAAATAAAATAATTACCATCATCTGCCAAAACACCCGCAAGGAATAGAAAAGTTATCAATAAAGTGAAGAGTTTCATTATTATCTGCGAATAATAATAAATCAAAAACCATTTTATATTAGTCATAGTTGCCTTTTGGGTAGAGACGAAAAGGTAAGGTTAGGTATGATTTTGCAAGGCAGTTTCAATATGATAAATATGTATGTAAACATTTTTTATCACATCCACAATATTGCCTAGACCGTTAAACTGATTTTTGTGTAAACAAAGGTAGAAATCTACCTCGAAAGGTACTTGATGTGGCCAGTTATTTCACCATATTGAGGATAGACAAAGTAAGAACAGGTCTGTTAACAAAAACTTCAGTTGCATCGTATGAAAAAGTTAAATTATACTATTCAAAATGATAATTAGAAAATTTAGTAATTAACTAAATGTTGTTATTTAAATTCGATTTTATGAAGTGACATACACCTAATTTTCAGGCGTCTAATCTAATATACGTGTAACAATTTGTTTCTAGCGTTTTGTTTTAAAATCGTAAAAAATTAAAACATGCAAAACAATTTTTCTTAATTTTGACATAATTTGTATACTGAATAATGAAAGTTTTTTTTGAAAATTGACTTTTTCTTCACAGTAGACTGGTTTATTTTAACGATGAACAAAACAATAAAATACACGGATGATAAAAGTATTTTTATGACATATTTTTTTTTTAGACCTTTTTTCGAATGAGATACGAGATCTATTTAAAATAATTTTAAAATTAAAAAAAAAAATTACTTTTAATTTATCCATAGAAAATCCTAAATGTCTCATTTGAAGCTCGGTAGAACTTTCCATGACACCCTGTATATATAATTTTTTTTATCACATTCACAATATTTCCTAAACCGTTAAACTGATTTTTTTGAAAAGAAAGTTAGAAATCTACGTCGAAAGTTACTTTATTTGGCCAAAATTACAATTAATTCACCATATTGAGGATAGCAAAAGTAAGAACAGGTCTGTTAAAAATAATTTTAGTTACATTGTATGAAAAAGGTACACTACACTATTCAAAACGAAAATTAGAAAAATTAGTATTTAACTAATTATTGTAATAAAAATTCGATTTTATAAAGTAGTGTCACTTCATTTGAAAGTGATTTTATTCAATTTTATCACTTTTATTTATCATAATTTCTGTAGACCTGTGACCTCTCCGTTTCCTCATTGCTTTGATTACGTTATGCCTACACTCTACTGTACTAGTCCTCTCGGATAAAATCACTTTAAAATTAATGCTTTGATGCTCATTTGTAAATACAGAACCTTCATTAAAACTTTCTAACTTTGCTGGTTTATACTGTGCTTGGTTTGGACTGTACTGGCTTGAAAATACTAACTACCGATTTGCATCGAAGCGTTTTTTTGAAATTGATTTTATCACTTTCAGATTTAAAAATTCCTATAAAACTGTGACATCCCCGTCCCCGCTATGCTCCGACACAACTATGCTCCGTCCCCACTATGCCCCGACCCCAATGTACTGGTTTTTTTTTTTTTTGCAAAAACGTAGTGGACCAAATAAAACATATACAATGTCTTGTTAATTTTTGTTGGAATGGTCGACGATTCATGTTCCAATCGTTTGTATTCCATAGTTTAAATTATAATCGCTTATTTTCAATAAAATTAATATTTATGTATTATATACTTCCATTAGAGCAATCTCACACAAACTATTTATACTTCATAGATTATATTATTTCAAAGCTATATTATACTTCTATTTTACTAGATTGACAATGTAAAAAATAAAATGCAACTAAAAAAACCTTTCCATAGATCCTTAAAACGTAAAGGATGGGATAGTGAAACGGGTATTCCCATTTAAATACATTAGAAAATAAACCGTACGAGTTTTTAAGTTAGAACTTTTACTGGCTATAATTTCGAGAAAAAGAGTCGGATCGAGTCGAAATTTATAAGAAATATTTATTTGGTATGTCTGCGCACATCAGTTGTATCAAATTTAAATTAAACCCATTTCCCACCCCCTTGGGGGGGTTCAAGTTTTTTTAGTTTTCTAGCCGTAATTTTAAGACCTTTGGGTTGAAAATTTGAGAACTCTTATGTATCCATAACATATTAAACGGAAAAAAAATTCGGCACTACAGTTTTTTTTTAATTGCCGGAAAACTGTATTTTCGCAGATTGCGTATATTTTAACAAAAATACCTAAAATCTTAAAAAAAAATGTATGAAATCATTAAAACAATTTTATGTATATCTACGCAGATTGATACTATTAAGTTTTGTGCTCAAGTACCACTTTTGACTTAAAGTTTACACAAATTCAATTTTTTTTTTTAAACTAAAAACATGGTGTACCAGATGTGAGAAACGAACAGACACTAAAAACTGTCAGTTGGTAACGTCAATCCGTGTTAGGTTAGGTTAGGACCCAATGGACGGTATCATAATATTGTGTTTATTACATGATATCACAGACGACTAAATCGTGTAACTGATTATAGTAGACACACGATTTATGGGAAAAAACCTATCCGTGTACTTATTAAGACACTTAATGATTCTGATACGACAAAACCACTTTCGTTATCTCGTTATTTTAGCGCCCACGTTATATTACCGTACCGAAGGTCAACTATGAGTATATAAGGTCCAACTATCTGCAAACTATGAAGAGGACTGTTGTTTTTTGGATTCCGATTAAGTGTTGGTTTTTATACAGTATACCGCCCCCAAAATGTATTTTATACTACACAATTTTTTTAAAGGAACACTAATGTCTTGCATATTGTTATACTATTATTCATTTAAAGAGATTCACGCTTGATTGTTTAAATTATCATATATAAGATATGTAATCTGCTTCGTGCTAGTTTTAATTTTTTAGTTTATAATTTTGTATAAAATATTTCATTATTTTATTACTATGTTCAAGTTAAGATATATTTTAAAAGTATTTAAAAGTCATAATTTTAGTACTTTATTTTATGACTAGATCAGATCTCGTGAACATTTAACATTATGATACTGCTCCTATACTGTTATTCAAAAAAACACAATTTTTAAAATCTCCATAAAAGGTTATTATTAAAAAACAGGCAACAGCCGACCGTTAGTGGCTATAAAAGTTAGTAATATTTAACTAATAAGTAATATGTATAGGTAAAATATTTTAAGTAGGACATTATTTAACAAATATTATTCAAGCTACATAGAAACAGTTTTGTTATAGTATGACGCAAATGGCAATGTTATTTGTATAATAACAGACCGTTCATATTTCTAAAAAAACACCAGAGACGGGTAAAAAATATCTCTAGTAAAAAACCACTTTAGTTAGCGATGTACAAAATGCTTAAAATGTTTCCGATATTATTAGAACCCAATAATTGAAAATGTTAAATATATTATTATACAGAGCCTCAAGTCAGAGTATCATTGATGAATAAGTGTCTTAAAAAGAAACCCGTTCAAATAAAACAAAATAAATTAGGCACAAAATGTACCTTGTGAGAGCTATAAATTAGTAATAAATAAGTAACTCCTCCTAAAATACAAAGTCGGTCCAACTAAAAAACCGGTTAATAAACAATCACAATAAATCAGTAGTTGAAAAAACTAATTCACATTTGTCCCTGTAATAATTTAGTTGGGCTAAATATTTATATAGTTCTTCCCTCTAGAAATTTATCATATTTATTATTATCCCATATTTTAAGTAGGACTAATAAGTAATTAATAATTATTATAATACATATAGATATGCTAAGTATATGTGTGTTTAAATGCTTAAAGTTTAAATACATCAGAAAATCGCCGTTTTTCTGCCCCACCCTGCATATTAATTTCTTGTTATTTTCTAAAGAAAAATTGATTTTCTTACATTTAAATTAAAATAAATCGTATACTGGTTCTGTGATGGAGAAAACAATAAATTTTACCTGCATATATTATTTATTAGTTAAATATTACTAACGTGTGTAGCCACTAGCGGTTGGCTGTTGCCTGTTATTTAACAATAACCTTTTATGGAGATTTTAAAAATTGTGTTTTTTTTAATAATAGTATAGGAGCAGTATCATGATGTTAAATGTTCACGAGATTTAATCTAGTCATAAAATAAAGTACTAAAATTATGACTTTTAAATACTTTTAAAATATATCTTAACTTGAACATAGTAATAAAATAATGAAATATTTTATACAAAATTATAAACTAAAAAATTAAAACTAGCACGAAGCAGATTACATATCTTATATAAGATAATTTAAACAATCAAGCGTGAATCTCTTTAAATGAATAACAGTATAACAATATGCAAAACATAAGTTTTACTTTAAAAAAATTGTTTAATAAAAAATACATTTTGGGGCGGTATACTGCATAAAAACCAACACTTAATCTGAATCCAAAAAACAACAGTCCTCTTCATAATTTGCAGGTAGTTGGACCTTATATACTCATAGTTGACCTTCGGTCGGTAATATAATGCGGGCGATAAAATAACGAGATAACGACAGTGGTTTTGTCGTGTCAGAATCATTAAGTGTCTTACCTCATTTATCTACTATAATCAGTTACATGATTAGTCGTCTGTGATATCATGTAATAAATACAATATTATGATAGCGACCATTGAATCCTAACCTAACATAATACGGCTAGACGTTACCAACAAAAAGTTTTTAGCGTCTGTTCGTTTCTTACATCTCGTACACCGTGTTTTTAGTTAAAAAAAAATGAATTTGTGTAAACTTAAAGTCAAAAGTGGTACTTGAGCACAAAACTTAATAGTATCATTCTGCGTAGATATACATAAAATTGTTTTAATGATTTCATACATTTTTTTTAAGATTTTAGGTATTTTTGTTAAAATATACGCAATCTGCGAAAATACAGTTTTCCGGCAATTAAAAAAAAACTGTAGTGCCGAAATCTTTTTCCGTTTAATATGTTATGGATACAGTTCTGTTAGTTTTTGTTTCTGATTATATATTTTTCGGCGAAAATATTTTTTGATAAAAAAAAACGGTTCTGCCGATTTATTTTCGTTTTTTTTACG